TAGCGGAATCAGGCAGGTCTGAATTGGAGACCTGTTCCTGACACTGCAGACATATTTTCAAAGTTTCCTTGAGCGCTATTTTTCTAATCTGTAGATTGAGGACAAGCATATCTTTTTCATAGGGTTGATTTGAGGATTATGAAAGGTGCTAGACATTCAATAAATGTTATTTTTCCTTCCTTCCTTCCTTCCGTCTCTCTCCTTTACGGGTCACTATCTTTCTGTCTTCTGTCCCTCACCTGTCTCCATTTCCCTCTTTCCTTAGTAATTTCCCATTGAAAAACATATACTATGGCACCTTTTGCTTTTGCCCAGAATTTAAGTTGGTTCTGTATATTGTCTGTGAACATTTATATTTATATAACCAATTGGAAGGCTTAAACGTCAGCATAGGAATTTTGTGCCTTTTTAGCTTAGTGATTTGATGAATGGAAAAATGAACAGTGAGTGTGTGTTTAAAGCACCAAGAAGAAAAAGCATTGGGAAGACTCATAGTTTCAGTGAACAACTGAAAAAGGAGTATCAAGAAATTTTAGCATTATGGCTCGTGAACTTGATGTGGGGCCTGCATGGAACCTGCACAGCCACAGCTGTGCTATGGTAGGTAAATTCCCCACGCTGCTCATTAACTTGGCTCCAATGTCACCAAGCCATTGCTGGGTCAGTACAGGTCCTAGCATCTCTGAAGTTCCTAGTTTCCAAGATGTGATGGAAAAAAAAAAGAATGGATTGATCCGCACAGCTCTCTATCTGCTATTTTGCCTGTGTCCCCAGCAATGCTGGGGCTGGCCCTTTCTGTTCTAAACTGCCAGAACATGTTCTCATTTGGCATATGTCTTTGTAAACACTAATGTTGGTGTTTGAATTCCCACTTGCCAGTGGCACTGGAAAATAGTGAAAGACACTTGGAAAACTAAGCATTGGTTTTTTTTTTTTTTTCCGTAAACTTCTATATTGGTGGGAACTTAATAATGACTTTGGTTTCTGTGTCTCATAACCACATGCAACATCTTAAAATTTAGGGCCAAAATGTGTTTTTCCCGTTGTTTTATCCTCTCTTTCTTCTTTTCTCTACTATTTATTCCTTATTCTCTCTCTCTCTCTCTCTCTTTTTTT